AGAATCTCCACAGACATTTAACCTGGAATACAAATAATGTACCTAGTCTGAATGCATTCAAGGAATTCTTTATGACATTCCTTATGAACAATGTAAATGGCCTTATAGTGAGTGAATCCAACAACTGGTCCATTTGACAATATTAACTAATTCTGATACATTTTTATCACATATGAAAGAATAGGTATCTTGTCGAGGTATTGATGTACAGCACATCATTTTTATTGCTCAAATCAGACTTCCACATCCAGTGCCTTGCAAATGTTCAATCCTTCAATTTCTATAAATCCCAGGCAGGATATGGAAGATATATATATATATATATGGAAGATATATATATATATGGAAGATATATATATGGAAGATATATATATATATATATATGGAAGATATATATATGGAAGATATATATATATATATATATATATATATATATATATATATATATATATATATATAAAAAAGTTTTTTGAGGTTTTCGCGGGTATTTGTATGTAGGTCTTTGGTTGTTCGGGTTTTCTCCCATGTAAAATTGGAAGTGTCTTGGCGACGTTTCGACGAAGTCCCATTCGTCATCTTCAGGATGGTGTTTTCAGCTTCGTGCTTTGAGCAGCAATGTGTGGTCTTAGCTGTTTATTCCTTTTAACTGCCAGTGGGGGTATGAACTGATTGGGTGGGAGCTTGGCTGTGTTCTGATTGGGTGGAGGTGTGTTCTGAATGGTTAGGGGCTTGGCTGTGCTCTGATTGGCTGGGGGAGTGTTCTGTTTGGTTGTGCTCAGGTTAGTCTGAGTTGCAGAGGGGTTTAAGATTTTGGGCTGCCTTGCTATTTTCTGGCTTCGCGTTCGTGGTTGTGTCTCCTCTTCATGGAGGGTGTCAGTTTGCTTCATGTATGGATTGGAGGGGTTTAAAGTGGCTAATGATGCAGCTGTGGTCTGGCTTCTGGTTTGTGGTCGTGTCTCGTCATCGGTGTGGCTTTGGATTTGTTTTTTGCGTGGATGTGTGGTGGTGACATCCTGTATGGTTTTTGTGAGTATGGGTCTGGTATCATTTTTTGTGTTAGGGAGTCGTTTGTCAATAAGGGTGGGTTTCCAAATGGCTGGTAGGCGAGAGGTATCATCTCGCTTGTTCATGCTGTGTGGGCATTTTTCTATCTCGATGGCTTCTCTGATTATTCTGTTATTAAAATGTTCACTTTTGGCAATGGTTCTGGTATTTTTAAAGTCAATTTCATGTCCTGTGGCTTTAAGGTGTTGGACCAGGGAAGATGTTGGTTCCTCTTTTTTGACTGAGTTCTTATTTTTTTCAATGCGTGCACTTATTCTTCTGTTGGTTTGTCCAATGTATGTGGTGGGACAAGTGGTGCATGGGATTTCGTATACTCCTTGATTTTCTAATTCAATTTTATCTTTGGGGTTTCTAAGGATGGTGGATATTTTTCTGTTTGTGCAGAATGCTGTTTTGATGTTGTGTTTATGGAGGATCAGAATAATCAGAATAATCAGAGAAGCCATCGAGATAGAAAAACGCCCACACAGCATGAACAAGCGAGATGATACCTCCCGCCTACCAGCCATTTGGAAACCCGCCCTTATTGACAAACGACTCCCTAACACAAAAAATGATACCAGACCCACACTCACAAAAACCACACAGGATGTCACCACCACACATCCACGCAAAAAACAAACCCAAAGCCACACCGATGACGAGGCACGACCACAAACCAGAAGCCAGACCACAGCTGCATCATTAGCCACTTTAAACCCCTCCAATCCATACATGAAGCAAACTGACACCCTCCATGAAGAGGAGACACGACCACGAACGAGAAGCCAAAAAATAGCAAGGCAGCCCAAAATCTTAAACCCCTCTGCAGCTCAGACTGGCCTGAGCACAACCAAACAGAACACTCCCCCAGCCAATCAGAGCACAGCCAAGTCCCTAACCATTCAGAACACACCTCCACCCAATCAGAACACAGCCAAGCTCCCACCCAATCAGTTCATACCCCCACTGGCAGTTGAAAGGAAGAAACAGCTAAGACCACAGATTGCTGTTCAAAGCACGAAGCTGAAAGCACCAGCCTGAAGATGACGAATGAGACTTCGTCGAAACGTTGCCAAGACACTTCCAATTTTACGCGGGAGAAAACCCGAACCAAAGACCTATATATATATATATATATATATATATAAAAACTGCATAAAAACACACAATTCAGTTGCCAAAACTACATCAGATATCATTATTTATTCATACAGATCCTGGGTCAGGCTCAGGTGACAAGCCAGTCAATCAATTACTGTTGCAATCAATGGATCAGCATCTTGTTGATCTGAAAAAAAAGATATTTCCTGCACTTGGGGAAGAATACAAGGAAGAAAAAAAATACTACACATATATATATATATAAAGGAAGCAGAGGAGAGGTCCCGAGGCTTATGGAATGAAGGAACTGGATGAGGCTGTCGGCAGGCCAATAACTTTCTCTCTCAACCTTAGGAAGGAACTGGCAAACCACTTTAAAAATGCTGCCCAAAAAACCTGCAAAGACACTCATCAAGAGTCAAAACTTACTTGAAAGCACAATGTATCCTGCTCTCTTATACAGGTAATCTTTGACTGATGAAGTTAGAACAGCACTGAAAGAAGTGACTTATGACTATTTTTCACACTTATGACTGTTGCAGCATCTCCATGGTCACATGATCAATAAACCGAATGTATACATTAATCAACATACACAAGAACATATACATTTATATCCCCAACTGACACACCTTTCAAATCACTGGAAGCATTCTTTATATATTGATTCATAAGTACAATAAACAACCAAGGTAATGTAGCCCATCCTATCTTATTTTCAGCACCACTCCTAAGCATTCCATTTATTATCACATTTTCCTTATCATATACTTTTATACTTGTATTCAGCAAGTAACCAAGCTATATTCATACAGAACAAGCATTCACATTATCATACATTCTCTCTAAAATAATAAATGTATAATACAATCCATGTTATTCTTTATTTGTCTTCAGCTCATTCAATAACATCATTCTACAAATCCTTCTCTGTAAACTGACTTAACTATGTATACCTGACCACACTTGTAGATTATAAGCTGTTTAACAGATAGGAAGCAGCAGGTGAAGCTAGGTAAAATCAAATTGAATACACATTCAATTAGTACAGGAGCCCCCCCCCCAAGGCTATGTGTTCTCTCCATTACTCTTTTCTCTCTATATCAATGACTGCATCTCCAAGGATCCCTCTGTTAAAGTACTGAAGTTTGCAGATAATACAACAGTCATTGGTCTCATTCCAGAGGACAATGAGTGTGTATACAGAGGGGAGGCTGAACAACTGGCCCTGTGGTATAGTCGAAACAATCTGAAGCTGAACACACTTGAAACTGTAGAGACAGTAGATTTTAGGAGAAGCTTTCTTATTCTACCATCTTTTACAATATTAGACAATACAGAAACAACAGTAGAGACTTTCAGGTTTCTGGGTTCTATAATCTGCCCGGACTTGAAATGAACCCCTAACATTAAAACTATCATTTAAAAGTCACAACAAAGAATGTTCTTCCTGAATCAACTGAGAAAGCTCAGATTGCCCAAGGATCTGCTGATAAAGTTCTACAGAGGAATTATTGAATCTGTCATTTGTACTTCTATAACTGGTTTGACCCAGCAACCAAACAAAACAGGTACAAACTTCAATGGATAATTAAGACTGCAGAAAAAACAATTGCAACTAGACTACTTTTCATTGAGGACCTGTATCCTGCACAAGACAAAAAGAGGATTGAGAAAATATCTACAGATACCTCATATCCTGGACATAACCTATTTCAACCTCTCCTCTCAGGACACTGCTATAGGGCATTGCATGCCAAAACAAATAGACACAAAGATAGTTTCCCCCCCCCACCCATGCCATCACTCTGCTAAACATCTAACTTCCATAGTACTGTCTTATGCCTGAAGAATATCTATCCATATAGTACAACTATATTGTTATTATCCTTGTCATCTTCTCACCTTCCCTACTTTTTCCTATTGATATCTTATGATTTATGATTGTATCTTATGATTTATGATTTATAATGTCGATGTTTGTATGTATACTGAAAGTTTATGCACAGGAGACAAACTCCTTGTTGTCCAATCCCACTTGGCCAATAAAGAATATTCCAGTTCCAATAATTACTCTTATTAAGGGATGCAGTTATAAGACATAGTAAAATGCATTTCTGAATTTAAGAAATCAAGACTTACAGGGGTTGTAAATGTATCATTGCAACATTTTGTAAATTAGTTATGTAGTGAATTAATAACTTCAACCCCTCAATGGCTAGGTAAATTTATGCATCATTTCGTGAAGATGAATTATTTATCTAATATATATATATGGCTGCCAAATACAGACATCATGACTTTGGGTGGCATACAAAATTATTAAAACGAAATTCAAAAGAAAACTAGAGAGCTTTGCTAATCATAAAAACCCACAAAAACACCCCAATGTGTTGCATCATTTCCAAAGAAATTGTATTCATACATAAATGTGAATACTAAATATTGGGTAACAGTATTCTATTGCTCTTGCGTATCCTATTTTCTAAATGGCTCTGAAATATTTTTGTACATAAAGCAATATCCAAAAATATTACACAGAAATAAATAAATAAATCTTCTTTAATTGCTGCTCTGTAGCTACTTTGAACTAGAATTGCGAGAGTTGGAGCCTGAGAGATCTCCTGGGCATTGAAAAAGCCCGATCAGAGTTGTCCCCTTCATTGCCCCAGATCCGAAAAAGGGCGAATGTGGGGATGAATCCCGTTTTTCGGATTAAATCCTCTGTCCATCGAAAGAAAAATAACAACGTAACTCCCGACGAGTAACATATCTCTCCGTGCAGACGGACCACTGAAGAACTAGGCCGTCGCTATCTTCCCATCCAAGCAACAAAATGGACGCCCCGCCCACCAGCGGAAGAACGGATCCAAGAGCAGAAGGCCGGATCGTGCCCGTTTTCCAGCCGTCCGGTAGGAGGGAGTTACGTTTTTACGTAGTGACGTCATTGACGGAAGCTCAGGCGGCAGCTGTGGACTGAGACTGTGGGTCACCCTTGGGAAGGTAGGTTGGTGGGGTCGCTTTGGGAGGAGGTTCTCCTTCTGGGGAGGGTCTGAGCGGGAATTACAGGATGCTCTTTGTTAATGGGGGAGCAGTCGGGTGATCTCTGTTCGCGGGATGGAATGGTTATGTGAAGGGGCTTTTGATGCTGGCATTCTTCCAGCTTAATGCTTAGGTCTCTTGCCCTCTTAATCCTTGTTTGATTAAACAGGGGAGAAGAAAAAAGAGATTTTATCGGTTGAGGTTGGGGAAGCTGGACATTGGGGTCATTTCTGGGTGGAGCAAGTTTTTCCTTGCGACCATACCTGGGTTGTCATTGAAAGGAGGGGACGCTTCGTCAGCATTTTTGAAAGGGCAGGCATTTTGAGGGAATTAATGTTTTATATTGCTCTAATCTTGCATATGGGGTTTTATTTTTTATGATCAAAGGATATTGGGGATTGGAATTGGATGATCATGGAAGATGGTTGGTGAAGGAGGAATATTTGATATCTTTTCCTTCCACTTCTTTACCATAATTGTGAAAAATTTATGCCAGGAGTGGGTGGACAGTAGACCTAGTGATGTGCGAGGTACTAGCAGCTTTTTGACGTTCATCTGGTGAACTGATGGGGCAGGATCTGAAATGCAGATAAATTGAAAAGCAGTACTAATTTGATAGGAAGGAATGACTTTCTCAAAAATGTGTCACTCCCTCCCCCCCCCCCATGATTACTGAAAACAGAAATGTTAATTATGGAATTTGGAAAAGGTTTTGGTTATGCAGCAGAGAATAATATATGAATAAAAAAATCATTGATTCATTGTAAACATGTTATCAGCTGCACAAATCTGGATGGCCATTAGGCAGCAGCAAAGAATCTGTTTCTTTTTCTGCCATCTAGTGATAATTTGGAATTTTGTAACCTAAATGTGGAATATCTAGCTCTAGGATCTTTGGCTATTTATTATTCTGATTTTTATTCTAATTGCTAGATCTTTCTGGTTTTGTTAATACGATATAGTCACTAGACATTTTTCAGTCATGGAGGCTGGGAATGTAGTGTACCTTGTGGTTTCAGTTAACTTTGGTAGCTTGCCTATATTGTTTTTCATGCAAAACATAATATCACACATAAATTAAAACTTATTGTGTATCCTATTGTCTAAAAAGAGGAAATACAAATCTTTTGAAAGCTGTTCAGGTTCTACAGGTTCTCAAGTGGATAATATTCTGTTTATTGGCATGCTTAATTCACTAATAGGAAGCATAGAAAGGCATTCTTTAAAGTATTTTGCATTAGCAATTAATAAGTGATGCTTGCTAGATAGAGAACAATGCATTTTGGTTGATGAGAATTCAAATATTTCATGGATTTGCTTAGACGTATCTCTATTTGCTTAGCAATTTCATGTCTATAAGCATATAATTAGTGCCTTTGCATTTTATGATCTTTATTGGAGATGCCACAATACCATGTATTCTTTGCTTCCATGGATCCCTGGTCTATGATCTCTGGATAGGGTGTGTTCCGAAAATTGAAATTTCAATCTCTGGGCTACAGGTGAATTTGCTGCAGCATGATAGGGGCAAAAAAAAGCTCCTTCACTGAAATAGCTGCCAACTATAAAGTACCATTAGTGTTTCTAAAATAGAAGATGCTGTTTGATGTTATGAGATGAGCTGATGTTTGAAGCTCTAGGTTCAAGGCTGAATGATTAATTTACAATTATCTGCAAATGAACTGCCTAAATTGGGATTATTTGAATGGCACATAAGAGGCATTAACAGTACATAGAAGTCACTGGAACCTACTGGTAATGTTATATTGCAGCTTCTAAGGATTGAAATAGCAATGGCACTTAGACATATATACCTCTTCACAGTGCTTAACAGCCCTCGCTAAGCAGTTTAAGAGTCAGCATATTGCCCCCAACAATTTGGGTCCTCATTTTACCGACCTTGCAAGGATAGAAGGCTCAGTCAATCTTGAGCCAGTCAGAATTGAACACCTGGAGTGAGCAATGAGTTAGCCTGCAGTACTATATCTAATCACTGCGCCACCACGACTCTAAATAATTACAGATATATGGATCGGTTATGCCAGTCTTTTGGAAGTTATTGGTCAGACTTGATATTGAGGGTAAACTGAGCATGCCAGAAAATGACTCTCATAGTGCACATGGCCACATATAAAACAGTCATTTAATACAGAGTTCCCCAACCTTTCCGGCTTGGTGGCCCTGAAGGAGAGGGGGCAATAGGGAAATGTGTGCACACGTGACCATTTACCCATGCACGCAACGGTGGCGCTAGCATGTGCATGCATGAGCGCCACGCACATGCATAGCCTGTGCTGATGTCTGCGCACCCATGGTGCGCATGCTGTCATGCACATGTGCAAACAGGCCACCAGCCCCGTGTGATGCTGGCAGCGGTGCTAGCATCCCCACGCATGCGCAAATGGGGTCACTAGTGCCCATGTGGTAATACTACCATGAATGGGGAGCGGCTCGCCATCTATTCCCGGCTGACAGGCCAGGCTGTGGAGCATAGGTTGGGGACCCCTGATTTAATAGATAGTATACTAGTGATACAGAAGTTGTTCACTGCTATCCCTCTGGCTTTCCAATTGTCTGTTCCCCTAATTCACATAAAGCCTACTAATTATTTTTATTTCCTAAGAACACCATGATAATTTGTCACTATTAAAGTCATATCAGAATTTAAACATTTTTACCCCTGCTTCAAGAGTAATGTCAAGCCCCCAAAGGCTTGCCATGCAATCGGGGACAGGGGAGAGCAGACGACAGCCCACCAACCCCAGAAGCTGCCGAGCCGCACACCGCCACGACTCACGGCCGAACCGAGCAGGCCTATACCTTTGACACGCCTCTACAAGCCAACGCGCAAACGCCAACGAGCACTGGCCCGTTAATGGGTCCGGAAGCACCCGAGGTCCACTTGTTGCCGGCAAGCCCGGGATTCCCTGAGCATCAGCTGTTGCCGGCGAGTCGGATGACGGCGGGCGTGTCACCGCAGAACAAGAACGCGATGCCTCTGCAGGCGAACCCAGTGTGGGCAAGGGGTGGGGGAGGTTCACCCAACAAGCAGGACATTAGGCAGGGAGAGTTTGGCGGTGGGCAGCTGACGCGCGGACCGGACGCATGGACAGAGGGACGCGGGGGCGGGGCTCCGTCGGGGAAAGGGAGAGCACAGGGAAAGGGTGGGGCATATATTCAATTTGAATGGATGTTGGTTTGGGATTGGGGGCGGGAGCACAGGATGGGGCACATAGATATAATGCACTGGGAGAAAACCACTCCCAGTGCTGACTTTGTCTCAGCTACACAATAAAGCAGTCGATGAGTTTCAGTGTGTACCGGCGTTCCTTTTGATCTTGCCTACGGACGACAGCGGATGCATTGAAAAGTAATTTGTAAAATTTAAGATCTGAAATTAATTCAAATGTATAGACCCCAGGAAGGATTTATGCAAACTTATCTTAATGGCTTTCTTCTTCTTCTTAAGGTATATGAAGATTCTGATCCTAATTTGACTGGCTTCTTTTTTTCACCATGGGTGAGCTCTTCCGAAGTGAGGAAATGACCCTTGCACAACTTTTCCTTCAGTCTGAAGCAGCATACTGCTGTGTCAGTGAATTGGGAGAACTTGGGAAGGTCCAGTTTCGAGATGTATGTGTTTGCTTTGATTCATTAATATAATTATTATATTTCAAAAACATGATTTTATGCTCAGAATTTTTGTTTCTTTTAAGGGCATTAATGAGAGATCTTTCAATTAAGTATGTGATAATTCAGGCCTATGAATAACTGCTATACATTTTAAGTAATCTTATTAAAATTACAATTACAATAGTAAAAACTAATACAAACAAAAAGAGTAAAAGCTGAAGAAAAGGAAAAAGACAAAAATAAAAATAATAGAAAAGAAAGAAAAAATAAAAATATAGCAAAGAAAAAGAAATCTATAAATCTATAAAGAAGTGATTCTGTTCTTCATCACCATAGGTATAAACAATTTTAATAATTTGTCACCTTCTCTTAAAATGATCTTTCTATATCCCATCCATACAAATCCATAAAACTGTCAAGTCCATTAAAGGTTACCAGAGATAACAACGTATCTGTTTTAACCTTGATCAAATATATCAAATTTATATTCCTTTTACTTTTAACAGTCTTGATCTTTTATTCTTTTAAATTAACTCCTAGAACTTTTTTTTTGTCCCATCTCATATAGTAAATCCAAAATAGCAAACTTATCCAGGTCATTGTTTTGTCTATTTCTTTTATTTATTGAAACACCGATTTCTTTTGTACAATATTTCAGTGTAAATGTCTTTTTCTATGTTATTTTTGTAACTTGTCATTTTAAACACATTTTCAAATCAGGCTCAATCTTATCAGGTAATACTTATTCATTTTCCAGCATCTTTTAAACACAGTTTATAGAGGCAGACACTATTAAAATTGACTTCTGAGTCCATTGTTCAAAAATATCTGTTAATGCAGGGTTGTCGAACTCAATTTCATTGAGGGCCGCATCAGCATTGCAGTTGCCCTTGGGGGGGCGGTTATGTGTGGCCAGGGTGGGTGTGGCCTACTGGGTGGGCATGGATGGAGTGGGTGTGGCCTATTGGATGGGCATGGCCAGCTCAACATCATTTGGGTTAAAGGTGCCTGTGGGGGCCTGGGCAGGAGTGGGACAGATCTGAGGGTCTCCGGCAGAAGGGGGTGGGACCAGGACAAGTGCCAAGGCATGATCCACTGGAGGAGCCTCACCATTCCTCTCAAACCATGCGGGGGGGGGGCTGAATGGTGGTGTGGGCTCCTGGACCCGTGGACAGCAGAGGTTAAAAGTCCAGCCTGGCCCTCAAGCACCCGTGGCACCAAGCCCAGCCCCACTTCCCTAAGGAGGCATCCAGCTGCACTTATCTCCTCCTCAAGGCTGCTGCTGCTGTGCTTGCTCTCCTTAGCCAGGTTGCTCATAATGGGTACGAGGGCAAAGTTAGAGGGAGGCGCATTCCCTCTCCATGGAAGGAGACCCAGCTTTATATCCAAAGCTTCCTTAGCAATAGGATGGGAGACCCCCCCAGGATAGGCCAGGAGGAGGGGGCAAGGGGATGGTGAAAGGGCAGCAGGGCAGGACTAAGGCAGGACTTCCCTCAGACTCTCCCTCTTCCTTCCTTCCTTCCTTCCTTCCTTCCTTCCTTCCTTCCTTCCTTCCTTCCTTCCTTCCTTCCTTCCTTCCTTTCCTTTCCTTTCCTTTCCTTTCCTTTCCTTTCCTTTCCCTCCCTCCCTCCCTCCCTCCCTCCCTCCCTTCCTTCCTTCCTTCCTTCCTTCCTTCCTTCCTTCCTTCCTTCCTTCCTTCCTTCCTTCCTTCCTTCCTTCCTTCCTTCCTTCCTTCCTTCCAACTACAGAGTGGTGGGAAAATATTTGAGATGAGGGAGGGAGGCAAGGAACCCAGCCAGGGCCAGAGCCAAGGGAGCGGGGGCCGTTCCCTCACTACTTTCCAGGATGGCTTTGCGGACCACATGAAACCACTTTGTGGGCCGCATCCGGCCCCCGGGCCTTGTGTTTGACATGTCTGTGTTAATGTGTTCAGTGTTAAAATATTTTACTTCATTCTGCTTAGTTGAGTTTGTTTTCCTTTAATTGTAGTCTTTAGTTTCTTTTTGTTTTGTCTAGTGTCCAATTTTTAAAGTCTTATTTTTTAAAAATAATTGGAAGGAAAGCATTTTCCCATAGGAAGGATTCTTTGTAATTAGTTCCAAAACCTTATTTCAAATTTACCTTGACTCAGCCCTGGCAAGAAGGAATGGCTCAGCCATGGTAGGCATGCTCCTAATCCCTTCCTTTGAATGTTGCTATATTATGGGATCTAGGTAGCATGTCTTTTCTATAGCAGCCTCTGCTCTGTGGAACACCCTTTCCCCTTGAAGTCTGGCACTCTTCCATCCTCCTAGCCTTCTGAAAAGTATTTTAGATTTAGCTTTTCCTTCAAGTGCTGGGATAGGTGAGGTAGATGAGAGGATTTAATGAAGTAGTGCATGTGGATGCACAATTTTGGTGCCATGTTTTTAATGTTTATGCTACATACAGTACATACATACATACATACATGCATGGCTTTTTTTCCCATAGAACGCCCAGAACGGAGTTCTGGCACCTTTTTTGGATGAAACCTTGTAGGGTAGGCAAGGCAGGTTGTATGACATGTGTGAGTTCCGGCACCTTTTTTTTTTTAGAAAAAAAGCACTGCATACATACATACATACATACATACATACATACATACATACATACATACATACATACTCATATTGTTTTAATTGTTAATTGAGAGTTGCCCAGAATTCAATATAAGATGAGCGACTGTATAAATATTTTACAGAAATAAATCCGTTTACAACTTTTAAAATCAAAGCCTTAATTAACTTTTTGGTGTTTATCTCAATTTTTATAAAAGTTCTTATGCTCAAAATTTAAAAAAAAATTGTTAAGGATTGAAGGAAGACTCATCAAGTATTTTCAGATTTGTCATCCCAGAAATTTCTAGTAGTGGAAAAGTAAACAATTTCCAGATATGATTAGAAAAGGAAATATGCAAACTTGGTGTTCTTTTAAAAGCACCAATTGCTTTTAAAAGTCAAACTGTTTGAGCAAGATGACTATTTTCTTCTCTCTCAGCGCTCAAAACCTGCCAGAGTCCACTCCTTTATATCCTCTTGAGGTGCAGCCGAATGAGCACTTGTAGGCCATCTGCTGCCTCTCTTTGTCCAAAGAGATTTGAAGAGCCACTCTACGCCCCCAAGTGCAGGCTTCTTTGCTGCAGTCATTGGTTCTGCTTTTTGTGGAGCTGTCTTCAGTCTGCCATTTTGTCCTCTGAAAATCCAGGGCTCAGATTGTTGAACTAGTTTCTGAAATTTCACTTCCAAATGATTAGCCATTAGTAGATGTGAAGTTGCGGGCAGAGAGTTACAGTCTATTCAGGTTTTTACATATACTAGTATACAGGGCTTTTTTTCTCACAGAATGCCCAGAACGGAGTTCCAGCACCTTTTGTTGGATGGAACCTTGTAGGGTAGGCAAGGCAGATTGTATGACGTGTTCTGGCACCTTTTTTTTTTTTTTTTTTACAAAAAAAGCACTGCTAGTATATGTCATTATAATTACATGCATTTATTGACAGCTAAACCCTGATGTGAATGTGTTCCAACGTAAATTTGTTAACGAAGTCAGAAGATGTGAAGAGATGGACAGAAAGCTCAGTATGTCATTCTTTTCTTTTATTTGTACTCTTTGTATAGATGTATAGGACTGAATTAGGTTTTGTATATATTTGTATATACTCTAGATTCACATTTAGTGTCAGTTCTGACATGAATACAGGTGGTTCTCACTTAACAACTACTCATTCAGCAGCCATTCAAACTTACAGTGGTACTGAATTAATGGCACTTACGATATTTGAAGTTAACTTATTAACTCATATTTAAATTGGCATAGCATCCTTATGGCCATGTGATTGTGGTGTCCTGCTTACAATTATGTCATCACAGTATCCTTAGGTCATGTGATGGCCATTTGTGACCTTTTTTTCTGGCTTCTTATAAGCAAAGTCAATGGGCAATATGACAGGAAGTCACAAATGGCAACCATGTGACATCCTCACTTGTGATTTACTTAACAGTGGCAACCAGAAGTGCCAGAATTTATATTACTAAGCAGTGAAATTATATGTTTTTGTATTTCATGACCACATTACTTAATGATGGAAATTCTGATTCCAATTACTGACATTAAATGAGGACTACCTGTGAATCAAAATTGACTGGGGTCATAGATAATGCTAAGCTATTTTTTATTAACACGCTAAGCCAAAAATAGACAAACCTTATTATATTTTAGCGTGTTGTGTATCGTAAATACAATACCTCTATCACAATAAACTATTCTTTGTGGATAATTTGCTTATTCATTTTTGGGATGCAAGTTGATGTAACATATTGAAGCCAGCTCTGTTACGTTGATTAGCAACCATTTTGTCTGATATCTCGAACATCTTTATAAATATTGCCAGCTGCTTCCTGTTTTTTACTGCATTTAATTTTTTAAAAAATCCAAGTAGAATGAAGAAATTATGGATCCCCTCTCCCTGCTTTATATTTTTATATCTGATTTAGAGGTTAATTTGATTTAGAGGTTAATTTGATTTAGAGCTAATAAGATGAGGACCAAAAGAAAAGACAGATAACCAATTTACCAAATTTGATTACAAATAGATATTAAAACACAGTTTTTCCATAATTCAGATTTGAATAGCACAGAGCTGAGTAAATACCTTGAAGCTCTGATGTGCAGCTACCAAAAGCTATTGGAAATTCTTATTAAATTGTATTTTTAATGTGACAAGAATTTTCAGTAACTGACCATTCACAAGAGAGATATTTTAATGTATGGAGAAGATGGATAGAATATGTTCAGAAGAAGTATGGAACTACAAAGTTTCATTTATTTTATGAGTAATGAACTTGTTTATAAATTTATGATGTTAAAGTTTGAAGAGAGTTAAGGGTTAATATGATTTTGTTCATTGTATAATTAGTAAACTTAAATAGATTATGTTTAATATGTTTGTATAATCCTGTACTTTGCTCTGAGAAGTCGGGGTGGGGGAGGGGGGTGGGGGGGTGGATGGGTCGAAGTTTAAATAGTTCAGATAAAGTAGAAATAGTTTTACTGTATATAATATTAATGTTTCAATTTGGAGAGAGGAATTGCTCGGGCATTTCCCCTGGACCGCATCCGGAGTGAGAAGATAGAAGAAGGTGAGAAGTAAGTAGGAAGGTTGAGGAGAGGTGGAGAGTGGGGAAGAGGAAGAAGAGGGAAAGAGGCAAGTTGGTTGGGGTGGATGCGGTTTGGGGGGAAATGGGTGGGCAATACCGAAAGTGTTGTGTATCAATTTGTTTTATTTTTTATCTGAAATATTTTTAAGATTGTAATGTATTATAAAATAGAAAATAAAGACTTTATAATAAAAAAAGAATTTTCAGTAACTATAGGAGTAGAAAGTAGCTATATTTAAACAGTTTAAACAAAGATATAGTAGGCTCTGCTTTAGTCCCCCAGTTTTTTGGGTTGTGATCTCTACACAAAGTATGAATATGGTCCTTGCCTGGAAAAGAAGTGCACCCTGTATTAAAATAACATGCTAATTAGAATAGTGAATTTAATTATTTATTTATGTTCAAGAACTCAAGGTGACATTGTAGAAGTATAATTAAAGAGTATATAATTTTGAGTTTTAACATTTACCCCTTTATATATCTTTTATTTTTTAATGGAATGAGATGTTTGGGGAATAGAGGAATAAATTGAATTTATGGATTTGGATTTGGAAGTCATTGATTGATTTGTTTTCTCATATAATACTGCATGTATTTAATCATAATGCCATTAAGACAGTGATTCTTTTTCAGGATTTGTGGAAAAAGAAATTAAGAAGGCCAACATCCCCATCACAGACACCGGAGAGAATCCAGAAGTGCCATTTCCTCGAGACATGATTGACTTGGAGGTAAATGCGCCATATGAAGTGTTGTATGTTAACAATGCAAAACTATTTTTTCTACAGGAAGGGCTATAAAAATGCATTATTATTACTATGCCTCCCCATGGTATTAATATAAGCTAAGTGAATAGCTTAGAAAAAAGTGCAAAATACAATATTTTTTCTTAGCAAATCTCTTGAGTTTTTTTTAGTGAATAGCTATAGTGAATTAGGATACTTTATATTTAGCTATAAATATTCTACTTTTCATTATCAAATATATAAAGCCACAGATATACATTAAATAAAGGTTACAACATCATAAATAGAAAGACTTTGATAATAAAACTAAATAGATTGCTATAGTATCAGAAACTTTTTACAACAAGTAGTATACTATGCTAACAAGAGGAATGAGAAAAATAAACAGATTTCATAGTTCCAGTAAAAATCAGCACCTGGAAATAGGCATATTGATATAGATTAATTCTAGGACCCAAATCTCCCTTGTTTCTTATTTTTTTGTGACATAGATATATCTTTTTCCATTCCCTGTTTCTTATTTTCTGCCTTGTTACCTCCTTCAATTTTTTGACACAATATAGTGATTCAGCACCTCTTTTTTCTTTCCCTGATACCATTTCACATTCCTCCTACTGCTTGCTATCAGAATGTGAGTGAGTGTTCAACAAAGGCAAATAGAAGAAGCAAATAAGCCAAGGAGCAGCTTAGAATTGAGAGAGCATTCTAGTTCAGTTTCATGGGGTGCAGTTTTTTTGCTGAGAAAAGATTTTTTTTAAACTTTATTATGGTCGTAGACCAGCAATAGCCATTACTTTTTACAATATATTAAATATTATTATTATTAATAATAATAATAATAAATAGTACTAACATTAATAATAAATAATAACATCCCTGTTAAGAACATACATGTTCTCAAAATGTTAGGGTCACTCCCTAATTTACGTGAGTGGATAGCCGATTAATGTGTGAGTAAATATAATGTTCCAAACATTATTAGAGATATCTCCAAAAAATTGGCACAATTTGACGACTATAAATCTGTAACCAATTTTTTTCTTGTGGACATGGCCGCAACACAGTATTTTGCCACTGCATGCGTGATAGAAGGGTTTGAGTCTTGGAGGAGAAAGCCTACATAAAAATTGTCTGCCCTCCCTGGCAATCTCTCTAATAAAGGGAGAATATACGCTGTCCTATAAACTTGGTATAACTCACAGTACAAAAGAACATGTGAGATATCTTCGACTTCTCCTTTACCACATACACATACCCGTTCTGCTATTGGTGTTCTCTTATACCTGCCCTGGAGGAGTGCTGAGGGAAGAATGTTAAATCTGGCTCTGAAAAAAGCTATTCTTTGTTTTTGGAAGATCAGATTATTCAAATATCTTGCTGATTCCCACACACCCTGAGAAAAGATAGTTAAACAGGAGTCATTGAGCTTCTTTTGAAATACTGGTGCTTCAATTTTGAATTGTGTGGTTGGGTCGATATTAGCATTATTGTCGATATTAGGCAGGAAGAAGTATTTCACATATCTAAAATTCTGTGTTGATTAGGAAAAATAACTGGAAGAAAGATACAATTCAGATAATACAGATAGTTGGATTACAACCCTAATTGGGATCAGAATTTCCATTGCTGAGCAAAGTGGTAATTAAGCACATCATCCTTTGATATGTTGCTGATTATCTATGGTAGTTTCTGCAGTCCTGGTTGTGGTTGTTACACAAGGACTATATGGTTGCTAGGTGAGGTCATTAGATAGGGTAGCTAGCAAAGTGTAGAATGGACAGAAGGGTGGAGATAGGTGAAGAGATAGATGGATGGGAAGTGATGAAGCAGAAGCAATTTAAATTCCACGACTCTTTATTGAAGTTTACATTAATATGCACAATGAAAAAAATAAACATGTCTGAAGTATATTGCTTTACTTTTTCTTGTTTCCTTCCCTACCACTTTCTAGGCAAACTTTGAGAAAATAGAGAATGAGCTCAAGGAGATCAACACCAATCAGGAAGCCCTGAAAAGGAATTTCCTAGAGCTAACAGAGTTGAAATTCATACTGAGAAAAACTCAACAGTTTTTTGATGAGGTCAGAATATCGGAATGTTTTCAATTCTTATCATCTGGGCCAGCCCATCATAACCCACTGTTTTCCTTCTTACAAATGCCTACTTACCTTGCAATTTGGGTGGGCAGCTCTATTTGCTTCTGAGGAGTCTTGCAAATTGTTTTTCATCATTCATGAAAATTTGGGAATTAGCCATAGAAAAATCTATTTGTACTCCTAGTTTTTAGGATGTTTTGCAGGCACACAAGGATTTGGAATATCTCCAAGCATGTTTTACAGTTAGGTAGAAAAGAGAGCTTAGAGAGGTACAAAGACATAAAGTGCTATATTTTTAGAGCACAATATTAAAGCAGAAGTGATTGAATATCATTGTATGTTTAAACCAGGGAAAGACAATTACCTTCTATATTTTTATCCTACATTCCTTATTCTCCTTGACTTGAGACCTTACTGTCTCAAGCATGTAAAAATTGTAGTCCAAAAATTGTGAAGAACAACCCCGTTACCTATCATTGCCGTAAGCCATAATTTTAGTGGCCTAAGGTCCTAAACTCACTTATCTGAAACACTTTTCTTCCAAATGTGTAGATTAAGAATTGATTAACATTTTTGTAGTCTTGTTTGGCTTCAGGAAAAAAGAATATGGAGGAATTTAAGAAATCTGTATCTACAAATATTTTCATTGCAGAAAATAATTTAAGTCAAAACTTTCCTTTTCAGAAATCCTGTTACTGGGCTATACCTGATGGTCAGGTATACATTCAGATTTAGGTTGTTCAGTTTTAATGTTTCAGTTGACAAACATTATGTAAAAACTGTTTTTTGTGTGCAGTTTTGGCAATTGCTTGAATATGCTAAAGATACGAAATCTTCTAATGCAGTGCTACAAGAAGAAATTTGTTGTGTAAACAGAATGATTTATATTTTCTTTTAAAAAGTCTTTGCAGCTATGCCTGCATTCACTTGCTTATGAATAATCATGTGGTGAATCTATATAATAATGGTTCTGGGTGCCTTCAGATGTTGAATATCAGCTTGCAGATTGTGGTTTTGGAGTTATTGGCTTCTGTATACACATGCAAGTAAATATTTCATTTTTATGACTGCCACCATGACAAGAAAGCTCAACTACTGTTTTTAAAACAAAAGTTTAGTTACAACAATAATGGAACCTGTCTTGAAAAGGTGGTGCTTTGAAAAGCATGCAACCTTGGTGCAACATATGCTTGTCCAACTTTTCTTTGTCTTGTCAAGATGCATGTATTTGATCCTTGTGCGTTGCTTAAGAGTTAATTTAAATGACATTTGGATCCAGATTATATTGGACAACATGACCTGCAAATATTTTAAATCATGTGATTCTTTTTATATTAGTTTTGCATATAATTAATTCTATTTCCTTTTCAGTAGATTGTCTGAGTTGTTTTCTCTTGGACATGACTGGAAAAATGCTTTTTCCCCAAAGGGCAGTTGAAAATTAACTACGTAACTTAGATCCTTGCAGTTTGTCGAGGATATTGGCTTGAATTTTATCAACTATCAATGATGTGGAACAACTTGTGCTGGACATTCTTACACTAAGACAATTTCTTCTAAACCACATTGCCAATTTTTTACATATGTGATATTTTATGCAAGAACTATCTTAACTTAAACCCAGTTACATTTTGAAGTGGTTCAGTCCTGACACATTGATGTATTTTTTCCTGCTATTGTGAGAATTGAGCTTTTCAGCTTCATACTCTAAATAGCATGTGGTGGACAATAGTATCACTAATGGAAAAAAATGCCTATATCTGAAACTATCTTAAACAGACTGATCACTGTGGATTCTATATCCTATGCTATAACTTTACACTGAAATGTAGACTTTATAGTTATGCATTCTTTCATGTTCATCCTTTGAAAAGCTTTACATAACCACTCAGAATTTAGGATGTGATTTTTAAGGTGGCATGATCTAGTTGCTCCGTCTTCCTTTTTAAACCATACTGATTGCTGCATTCAACATTTTGAAGATTTTATGAATTTACTGGGAGAGTTTTTTAAAAAAATATTGGTTGTTTAATGGCAAGAAATGGCTCGCAGGGCTTGCAGACTTTCATTTAGTTGAGGTAGAGATACAGAATTTAGGCCTCACTGAATGAAAATGTTTGCTTTGCCAGTGTAGCCATTTGTTGAGTATCAAAAAGAACACAGTGATTTTGAATCTATTAACTGCTAGTCATTTTCTCATTCTTCATATCTTTATCTTGTGAAGAGTACAGTGAGAACTGGAATAATATCTTGGAATATATAAACCATAAGTGTTCAGAATAGACTGAAACAAGACTGGAAAAGTAATGGTTAATGGCATGCAGTTCCCATTTCTTTCCTCTGATTTCTTTCTTCTTTTTTTCCATCATGTCACATCTTTAGTTCTCATTTGCATCTGTCATTTCTTCTCTTGGTGATCCTTGCTGCAGGTGCTGGAAACTCTGAAAATATGCTTCCTGTTTTATATGTTTCTGCCAGAAGGATCTTGACTTGCTTCTCCTATATAGTTGCTTATGAACAATGATCATAAATTGGGTTTACTTTCCACTGTTTTGAACATTTGTTTCTTGCTTTGGCAGAGGAGATACTGACATAATTCTTACAGGAAGAGTACTTGTGAACGCTACCTTCCCTGCCTTTAAAAATAAACTATTCCATTAATGGTAGGTAGCATCTCAGATTTGATTTTAAAATATCAGAATTGGACCTGAACCTCCTGCTATTTCTTAACTTTTTTTTGGAAAGACTTCCTGAAATGCAATAATAATTTTTATTTGCAAATTCAAGATTCTTCATTTCAGCATGTTTATGCTGTTTGTATGTGTGCTGGAGTAGGTGTTTTGCAGGAGACAAGGCTGGCCTTTTCATTTGGTTGTATTGGTGGGTCCACAGCAGGATAATGGATACAGATATTGAAATGTTAGGAGGAAAATTGGAGCTTAACAGAAAACATATTTGCGTTGAATGATAGAAATGATAGTATTATTACAAATATTAGCACAAAGATTAACACTTATTCAAATGATGCATTATTATTTTGTACGTATCTTTGTGTTCATTTGTTCAGAGGTTTTAAAATGCTTTGCCCCATGGAACGTAAAAAAGACATTTTTTGAGAAGTGACTATCCTTTAGTGCTTGAAACTAATGAAAATTCATTGCAGTAAAAAGCTTCTTGTTTAAAGAATCTTAATATTTTGAAAAATATAACTGTAGAGAAAAGAATTAGAAAACAAAAAGAATGTATTTGGCCTGGGAATCAACATATATCGTATTCCCCCAATTATGTTAAAACTCTACAGATTTTTCAGTGAGAGATTTTCTTTAGTAGATTCTTTTGTGCTGAGGTTGGTAAATCCATGCTCTTTTTCAATGGCCTGCTGCTTGTTCTGATGTATACGTATCTTCAACTTCAAATAAGTATGAAAAGCCATCTATTTTATAGGAATGCCTTGCATGCATTGGAAAGTGGGAACCTTTCCTTCCAAAGCTTCATCTGCTTTTGCTTTTCTTTATTGTTGTGGTTTGTGAAAAAAATGTTTTGGTTATCCCATGTAATGTCCCTGGAGGTATGACATTGTCATTCTTCCAGAGCTATATCACCAATGCTTCAGCAAGTTAAGTTCCCAGGACACCCAATTAACAAGTTACAGAAATAAAGATTATCTGGGAATTCTATCCTATTTGTAGAGAGATGGAATACACTATATAAGAAAATAGAAGGCACGCTAAGCAAGGAATGTTGTGAATGATGAGCTAAAAATCTTTTTATGTGCTTACTATTTGAATTCCAGAAAAAAGCAAATTGTTCTTTACAAATGCGCTGTATACATGCATTGTTTTTGCAAAAATAACCTGGTTATTTAATGAGGGCTGTGTATATTGCATATAATCGCACAGTCAACAGTATTGGACAGAATTACAGTAGCTATCTAGTAACTGTTGCTGGATAGTAGCAAGTAAAGGATTTTGTTCCATGACAATTTAGAATTCCATTTTCAAAAGTAAATATATATTTTTAAACATATGAATCGGTGAGAAAGAATTTTGAGGATTAGCTACTGCTTGGAAGAGACAGTTTGCTTGATGAATTTAACCATTTTGCTATGTCTGAGTAGGAGTTTTTTTTTCTTTTCTGCCTTGTCCAGTTATATCGCCCCCTTACTCTCATCACCATCGTGTTTTCTTTCTCTCTTTACTTCTTGCTATCAGGTCTCACATTGGCATGGCTATAAATCTTGGCTCTCTAGGCACTTAATCCCTTATTCAGGAGTTGGTTTACTGTGCATGTGGGCAAGACTTTTATTGGAGCTAAGAATGAAACTATATACACCATGAAAATGTATCCATTGCAGTTAACAGAAATCAGTCATTCTATAGGCATGTACTCTAGGGTTGTTTTGATAGCCTTGGAAAGGCTTCTGATTTATGTTCTAACAGATCTTGCTAGAGGGGAAACTGCTGGTTCCTGCCTTGCTCATCTTTTTGCTGACTCCGTCAATTCCATATGGTGGAAGGAAAAAAAGCATGTGTGGCTACATCAATTCTGTTATATTTTTTCTCATGAGAGCAAAATTTTTTGGGAGCAATAGTTAATCTTGTAAATAGATTATTTTATTTTACAAGCACTTAAATTTGATTAGTTATATAGTCTATTAATATAAGCTGCTTATGTCCTGACCCTGCATTTCAATTTCAAAGGAGAAGTTATGTGGATAGCATAACAAACATACATATTAGCACCTTTTGGAAACAAAATAGTTGTGCTCATGAGCCTAAGAAAAGATTTGTTTGATTTAATAGGTGTTAGTTGCATAGCCACATGAATTGCACAACTCTTGTGAATATTTCCACAGATATATAAGTGTACACATTTATGGAGTCAGTGGGGAAATCTCCAGAATTGATGTCAATGGAGTTATCAGCCCTAAATTGAAAAGGGGAGGGGGGAGAGATTGGATATTTACACACACACACACACACCACGCACACACACACACACACACACACACACACACACACATTAAACTTTTTTTCTGCCTACCCTTTGGATGAATATGATATATGTTTGCAAAAAAGTGAGTTTAACTGTACTGAAATCTCAAAGGGAAGAGAGGGTCGGTATATTATGCAGGGTATGGTTCAAGCTGCAGATTTTTGTTTGGATGTGTTTGGTTGCTTGTCATATAAGGAGTCATTAAAATGTGATATTCCTTATATACGTGTTTTTAGTTGTTAATCCCTTGAGTAAGAAAGATATATGGGGAAATAGCTGCTAAAATTATGGGGGGGGGGAAAACAACTCTCAGCAGTAGATTGATTACGGTAATTATAATTTAGGCAGAATTCACCTTTAAAAATAGAATATACATTGCCTTGTATATGTTGTATCATATCTTTGACAGGCAACTTCTCATTATTTTAACAATTACTGTGATTCTTTTGGTCTCATTTTCAGATTCTAGATTACCCATAAGATTCTTTGTTGTAACCACTCCTGCAGTTTTCCATAGTACAGAGTAGGTGCTCATGATTAAGTTGTAAGTTTTCATTTAAAAAAAAGATCCCTTTTTCCAGATCAACAGAAATAGAAAATTGCTTTATTTCTACCATATTCCTTTGGAGCTTAACTTGCAATCTAGGCTTATTGTTGTTCAGCTTGAAATATTTGTGATCATGAGTGTTTTGTTCTCCCCCTCGGCTATATAAAGATGCTTTTTCTCTTACTCATATTTTCTTTAAGCTTTTTCCTCTTTTGCATTGTTTCTTCTTCTCTTCTTTTCTTTTTCTCATCCATCTCCTGGTTCCTCATCCCCTGCATGCCACTAACTAGTTTCATTAGATATTAATTGATTTGTGAATTCAGGCTGAATTGCATCATCAGCAGATGGCGGATCCTGAATTGTTGGAGGAGTCTTCATCGCTGTTGGAACCAAGCGAAATGGGAAGAGGGGCCCCACTGCGATTGGGGTATGTTTTTCAGTATTAATGGTACTTTATAAAAATTACAGTACTGAAGTTAAAGAACAGAGTTGCCCCAGTATCTTATAATATTATTCTTGGTTTCTTGCATAGGAAAATACAAGTTGACAGTCATGTCCTACACAATTAACTTTTTCTATATCAGCTGAATTTGTGAATTTAGTTACTGGATAATAAGTATTTATTAATCTAAAATAGTGAGGATTTGATTTCTATAGGTATTTATTGCTACTAGAATGTAATAAATTGAAAACATTTTCTTTATAATTTAATAGATAATCTACAATATTTCTAGACTATCAATGATTGTACTTCATTATTTAAGGTGTTGCTTAAAGTATCTGGAGAAGATGATAAGATATAGCTCACTAACAGCCATAATAAATAATTTTATGTTAATCATAATTGATTCAATTGATTCTAAATTTAGGAAATTAGAAATCTTATTAGGCCACAGAAAAGTTGCCAAGAAAATAAATACTTTTAATTTATTTTGAGTAGAACAGCAGTATGCTTGTTTTGCTTCATTAACCTTTGTTGATTTATATCCCACCCTTTTCTCAGAATCCAAGGAATGTATATTGCATATACTGTTCTTCTCTCTCATTTTATTCCCATAACCATCCTCAGAAATAGGCTGACTTGGGAAAATGTAACTGGCTCAAATTCTTTATTGAGGTCCATGCCCAAACATGGGCTTCAACCTGCATTCCTTAATCCCTTTTAAAGCAATATATTGCATTGTTTGATGTAGAGACATATTTTTTTCACAGCTGTTACCATTAATTTTGATAAACTTTTACTTCTATCAATTTTATTCAATAATGATCTTTTTAAAATATTTTTTTATTATTTTTAATGATAAAAACAATATATAGATTTTAGAAAAAAAAAGAAAAATAATGAATAAATGGGAGACAACATAAGGAAAAGAAACAAAGCAGGGAAAAAAGGAAAAATGTTAAAAAGTGGTTTATGATTTTAACAGCAGTTATAAATGCATTTAATATTTTACCCCCTAAGTTTATATCATAATATTCTTTCCTAATCTGTCTTTCCAAATCATCAAACCCATAAATCACAAGTATTTTTTATTCAGCAAAAAGTCAATAAGGGGTAATTTTATTCTATAACTGTCTTGATATTTTTAGCATATCTTAATTTTTAATATGCTATTAAGCATTGAAGCAGGCCCAATTACATTACAGATCAACATCAGTATTAATTTCAAATGCTGATGTGTAACATTTGCAGTTTATCATGTTTTTCCAAGATCTAAATCATCCTTAAATTTTATGTTCTGATTGTACTCCTTTCAGAAATCTATCAAAGAATTTCCTTATATTGGTTATCAAGACTTTTTGTAACTGGTATTGTCACTGAACTTCCAAGTGCTTTTTAATAACAGGTATTCTTGGTCAACTTCAAAAATTTAAGAATACATGTATTTAAGTGTTGATCTTATTGTACAGTAGCATTCATTCCTTGATAATTCAGGTATTGCTCCAAACAAAACCTTAGTTTATGTTGACCATTAAGAATCCAAATTGAAATATGGTAGGTATGCATTATACAAAAATTGCAAGTTGTTTATGTCCTATTTTTAAATCATAGATTGCAACTTCATAAATTTTCTCTGTCATCCATAAATTCCTGAGATAGACTGAAGTTCACAGATACAGATTTTAATTCAGAAAAATCAAAATTAACCATTTCTAACCTGATCTCAGAATTCTCAGCCAGCGTAGCATTGGTAAGAATTCTGAAAATTGAAATTCATACTTTTAAAGAATAATCTGGTTGGGAAAGGGTACCCCAAACTCTGAATTACAATTCCCTTCATTTCAGGGCATTTGTTTGTTTTTATTATTTATATATACCCACAGTATCAATTTCACTTTGCTCAGAAATTAGTCAATGTTTTGGAACTTAGAGGCTTTTCAAAATTAGGTAGCAAACATATCCCAGAACCAGTCCTTAAAATCAGGATAGTTTATTTCTATTTATATAATATTATTCTTTTTGCAATGATGTTTATGAAATGACAAATTCCATGTTTAAGAAGTACAATTTAACATAAAAAGTTAACAGAAAATGATTTAATTTCATTTTTGCATCACAAGCATATTTTATACGATCCATTTAGTCTCTAGAATTGAGTATCCCAATTGTTCATTTCATAATTCAGTTATACAGTTAATACTTTTGTTTTATTTTTCTATTAAATTGCGTAATGTCTGCACTATTTTCTGGGTTCGGTTAAAAACATTAGGGCCTTCCCTTATATTCTATTGGTTTTGCAATGGCACCATCCATTTATTTCTGGATTGATAGTTATTTGCATATTCTTCTTTTTGTTTGATTTCTCCTGTATTTAGATTTGTGGCTGGAGTGATCAACCGTGAGCGAATCCCGACCTTTGAGCGAATGCTTTGGAGGGTGTGTCGTGGAAATGTTTTCTTACGACAAGCTGAAATTGAAAATCCTCTAGAGGACCCAGTAACGGTATAAGTGGCCATTTCTAAAGCAGCAGGCTGACCGTGGCGGGCAATTAATTTGACACTTCCTCAAGCTGCTTCATGTGAGGGGTGAATACTGCATAGGCGCAGAAAAGGCTGCCATCCTAGTGGCGGCCTTTTCTGTGCCTGCATAGCATATACTCACTTGAAGCAGCTTGAGGAGGTGGGTGAATGCAACTTGAGTCACTAAAGGAGCAGAGAGCAATTATGCAGAACTGGACGTGATTCGGGTTTTTTCTTCTCCCTCTGGGGTGTCCTTACTTACTTTGTCTAGGTAGGATACAGACATTGAACTACATATCTTTGTTTCCTAATTTGATTTCTAATTTCCAATTGATCTCATTTGTATAGCCAAGGAACAACCAGATGTGGCCTGGGGGCTGTAAAATGCGTAGGTCTGCTGCAGACGCCAATTAAAATTTTTTTTTTTTTAAAAAAGTTATATGTGTGTACATTGATGAATTTAAATCAAAGTTCAATACTCTTATGGAAAATCTTATGAAATCTTAGGGTTCGGTTATCGAAATCTCATGAGAAATGGCAATCTTGCTGGCCTGTCTGGAATCACACTCATAAGGAGGATGGAAATCATGATAAAACAGTATGGTTGAACCATCTGTCTGACATTTTTAAAAGCCACAGAGAAATCCAGCAGATTCAAGAGGCACAGCCCCCTTTTCCAGTTATTGTCAATCAAGATGGGCCACAAATATGATGCAAGGTCTGAGGGACAAAATGTATCAGGAGAGATTGGAGGAACTGAATATGTACAGCCTGGAGGCAGAAGGGAAAAGGGGTGACGTGATTAAAACCTTTAAATATATTAATGATGTGAATAAGGTTCTAGAAGGCGGTATTTTCAATATTAAGCAAATATCAAGAACATGGGGGCAAAACAAGAGGGAAGTTCAAAAATAATGTTAGAAAGTATTACTTCACAGAAAGAGTAGTGGAAGCTTGGAATCCATTTCCAGCGGAAGTAGTGAGTCGGTCATCAATTAAACATGCTTGTGATAAATTATGCCCATCGTGTGACAAAAATTGAAATAAATAAAAATAATAATTAAAAATAATAAATACATAAATTAAAAAGAAAAAACCCTCAAAGGGCAAACTTGATGGACCACTAGGTTTTTTTTTCTACTGTCAGTTTTTTATGTTTTTATATTTCTGCTTACAAAGAAAATCAAAACCCTGGTCGTAACAAGTGCTACTATTCTTATTAAGTTTGTGCAAAAAATTATTGATGAAAAATGTTTTCATTTGAACAAATGCAGGAAGGGGTAGTTGCTGTCCAAATCTAGCCATCTGTCTGAAAAATTGCTGCTAGCCTCTTGGGGAAGTTCAAGGATTTGGATACCACTGATATCAGTTCCTTGCCATTCATTGCTTTTCCTTCTGCTTGTTTACTTCAGATCATCTCCTTAATCAGCAGCCTTGGCTTATCTTTGTGGCTTCTTTGCTTATGTTACAGTTTCTCCTAGTAATACATTATTCAGAATATAAAAGGGATGGATTTCTTATGCTCCCTCCCCCTCTTCTATTATCCTATGGCTACTTGGTGATCTTGGTTGAAGATTTATAAGGGAAATGAGAATGATTTGAAGAAAAGTTTAATATTTGAAAACCTACTTATTTAAATTTGGATTCTTGAAAGCATGGAACCTCATAAATTTAGAGCTAGAGATGTATCCATAAAATGCTATTCAGGACAATTATATCGAAAGGTTTTACATTCAGTAAAGACCTAATTCATTATATTTTGAGCCTAAAAGGGTAATTTCAATTCAAAAGGTTCTTAAAAAATGATTAATTGGATTTTTTTTTGTCTAGGTAGGATACAGACATTGAACTACATATCTTTGTTTCCTAATCCATAATATTCATCTATTACTAAACCTAATTGATTATTAATAGTTCTTTTTTTCCTCTCTTTTCTTACTTTCTGAGTAGCTTAGATGACCTTGCTTGAATTCTGGAACTATTGCTGCATCAGTATGTTTTGCAATTCTGTGCTGTATTCTTTTGTTATACAATATGGCCTATCTCTCTTGCCATTTTTAAAGACATAATGAAGTAGTTAAGGAAAACTGAAAGCCTTTCTTTTATTCATCCTTCCTCCTCACCAACCCTGAAGTGGTTTCAAATCTTGACAAAGATTTCAGGAAACTTTAGAACAGAGGTTCTCAACCTTTTAGGCACCAGGGACCGGTTCCGTGGAGAAAGGTTTTTCCATGGACTGGAGAGTGCGTGGTTTTGTGTGCTGCCTGCATCACACGGATGGGGCTCTGCTTATGCGGACCAGTTGCTAGCATGCCGCAGCCTGGTACTGGTCCATGGCTCAGGGATTGGGACCCCTGCTTTAGAAAATATACATGGTTCTACTTAGCAGGGATATGATTATAGGAGAGATTGGACTGAGAAGTCCCCAGTAAATATGATCATGAGAATAATATGCGGGCTATAGACTAAGTGGTCTCAGCTTTGAACCAGGATTTTCATGATCCAAAACTAATACATCTGCTACTCTCAGCTGGATAGCTTTAATTCCAAATGGACCTTCTCTGTCTTTTCTCTTCTAGGGTGACTATGTGCACAAGTCTGTGTTCATTATTTTTTTCCAAGGTGACCAGCTGAAAAACAGAGTCAAGAAGATCTGTGAAGGGTAAGCAAACGGGAATAAGAAGACTGTTGCTTTTAATTTAAAACTCTTGTGATTCATTTTACATTATTTTCTAACCTTCTCATCCACTTAAATGTATAGTGTTTGAGGGGGGGCCAGCATATTATTCTCATGATCAGGTTATTATTACTATTATTTATATTGAATCACCTCTGTGTGCCTTTCAGATTCCGGGCTTCTTTGTACCCCTGTCCAGAAACTCCACAGGAAAGGAAGGAAATGGCTGCCGGAGTAAACACAAGAATTGATGACCTTCTGATGGTATAATAATGATGATAGGATAAAGCAGAAAGAGACAGTTCTTAATGTTTTTTATACTGTTTTTATTTCTGAATTGGTCTTTTTAGTAAATTAACCTGTATATATACTGTAATTTGTATTGCAGAGATCATATTAATTAGATGAATTCAATGCCAGGTAACCTATATCTATTGACCTAATATTGAATGGAATCCAATTACATTTGAAAAATCACAAATTGCCTACCCCTAATCTAGCCATTGGTCTTGTTATTTGATTTGGTGCTGGCTCTACACTGGTTATATTCTTTTGGATGAACTTCCAAAGCAATTTTTGGGGATTAACTAAGTAATGAACTTATTACTGATACCTGATGTTCTGATGTTCTGTGTCAACTCATAAATAATAACTTTCATGTCCAGCATTTTAATTAACTTGACATCTTAGAACACTCTGAGCACTAAAAGACTGTGCCCAAATAGATGAAGACAGTAGATTGAAGTTTAATTCAGAGATGACAGTGTAGAATTAGAGTACAATTGACAAATATGTTTATTTATATCCCGCCTTTATGATTTTTGCAAATGGCAGCAAATATACCTAATACTTCCTCATCCTCCTATTTTCCCCACAACAACCCAGTGAAGCGGGTTGGGATGAGAGTGACTGGGCCAAGATCGCCCAGCTGGGTTTCATAGCTAAGAGGGTACTAGAACTCACGATCTCCTGTTTTCTAGCCCGGTGCCTTAACCACTAGATAGAGCCATTATGAACTTTTTTACATACTTTTCATACTCAAGGATAAAAGCTTTAAAACTGTTTTGTCAATAGCTGATTTCTGAGGGATGTTTGAAAGCTCTAGTAATTCAGAATATTAGCTATTCCTCCTTTAATTATATTGCTTAGTTCTTGAACTTCTAGGTATATTTCAAGATTCTGTTACTATATTAAAATTTCAAGAGTTAAAAATTTGTGGAGCAATGTATCTTATGTCCAGGATGTTAGTCTTTGGCAAAAGCAGTATGGAAAATAATATTATTATAAATTAACCATTAACCATTTGAAAAAATAGATACTTAGTGTAATTTTTAAAGTTACTATATTGCTATAGGCTTTTATTAGACTTTGCATAGAAGTCTATTTGTTAATGTTGTAAAAAGACTAAAATTACATTATAAACCAACAAAGTAAAGTTACATTATAAAATTTAACACACTTTAAATGATTTGGGACAATCTGGGCTTTTTCATGAGAAATCTCCTAGGGTCAGATACTCTCGATTCCACTCTTCACAATTTGCCACATAGTTTTTTCCCCCTCCTGCTTTATTCTAGTAAATACAAACAGAATGAAAGAGGTTTGAACCTTTCCTTAGTGGTAATATAAGCAAACTGTTTTTTCCTTTTGGAATAGTCTAAGGGGAGATTAGGGGATAAGCCAAGAATGTGCTTTGTTCTCTCTCTGAGGGAGATGGACTGTTAAGAAATAAGAGGTATAAATAAATAAAATTAACGTTTGGAAATGCAAGAACAGGATTGGAACTGTGGAACTGGTAAGCCCATATAACCCTTTTGCTTTCACCAGTGTGTAGTCTTGTAGTCTTGCTTTCACCTGGTTGTTTCTGGAATTAAAGGATTGTTTACTCTCCATGTAGAAGAGTTGGACATCAGTACATGTTTAAATTTAATCATTCTATTAATCTTGGCTACTAAGGCAAAGGAGTAAATTTGTAGTTTGTGTGAAGGCTGAGCTATGTGTAAAACTGTTGAAATTCTCAAATTAGACTGGAACTATATGAATTTCCATAGCTCACAGATGATATATACAGTATAGACTCCATTTCCCTTTTTATAAGAAACTCTCTCCTTCCCATGGTAGGTACTGAACCAAACTGAAGATCATCGTCAGAGGGTTCTTCAGGCTGCTGCAAAGAACGTCCGTGTTTGGTTCATAAAGGTGCGCAAGATGAAAGCCATTTACCATACTCTGAACCTCTGCAATATTGATGTGACCCAGAAATGTCTCATCGCTGAAGTCTGGTGTCCTGTTGCTGACCTGGATTCCATTCAGTTTGCTCTCAGGCGTGGTACGGTGAGTAGTAGCCATACCTCTTGCCTCTTCTAGGATGTTCAACGTTATTGCTAGCTCTGATTTTTAAGAAAACACAGATTTTTCTGAGTGTTGCAAGCAAAATCTGTTTGTGCAAACAGACTGTAATAGAATTCTTTACTTCTTTAATTCCTTTTCCATCTGGATTGGAGGAAGCATGGTGCTTTTACCTGAAATGTGTCTCAACATTTTGATTTTTAATTCACATTTCTTAGCTGTTTCTCAAGAGAGGGCTTGCCTTGATTTTTGTTCTCTCAGAAATACAGATAGTCTTGAATTCAGATAAGTGATAGCCCACTTCTTTTGAAACCCTTTGGTGTTTTTTAAAGCAAAACTTTTGAAACAGTTCTGACTTTATTTATAGGAACTTCTTCATACATAATTGATATATTTGGCTGAAAGAATGATAGAATCCAGTGTTTTTCTGGTTGTATTCAGGAGGAAATCCAAACATTTGTTTTGCTTTTATTTTTTTTGAAGAAGGTCTTGTGTAACTTGTATTCACCAAAATTAAAAAGCATTTTCTAAAATAGCTAAATAACAAGTATGCTTGAATATATGCAAGAGTGAAAGATTGTAAAAGCTGTCTGGGTTTCTACTCAATTGAAAAAGTAGCTTTTCTAATCTTCAGTTTGTTTGTGTATAACAGGAGCATAGTGGATCCACTGTCCCCTCTATCTTGAATAGGATGCAGACCAACCAGACTCCACCTACATACAATAAGACCAATAAATTCACTGATGGGTTTCAGAACATTGTAGATGCTTATGGTATTGGAACCTATCGTGAGATTAATCCAGGTACTTGCATGTATCCTATGAAACTGTCTAGCTTCTGAGCATTTGTTTTGATTTGTCTCCTTTCTGACTTATTCTATTGCATCAATTTAATTTATAGAAAGAATCTGAAACAAATAAAAAGTCAATATTTCTGTCGATTCTGTCAATTCTATGTATCAATTCTATTGATCTGATTTAAAACAGAGACCCAGCTTTATTTTTTATTACTGGAAAATTGCAAAGGAAGTTTAACTTAATAAGTTTTGAGTTCCAGAGAAGAAGCCTATTTAAAAGAGGAAGTTGACATTTTGTTTTCATGTTAAGTTGGCAAATTTATTTTTAAAATCGAATCCACTTTCTTGTACATGCCTTTTAATAATTCTGTATTTTTCCTTAGTATAATACTTTTTTCTCAGTAAGCCTTATAGTACATTTTAGAGCTGTTTATAAGTGGTGAATTACACCAAAAGTAGATAAATATATAAAAGCATTTAATTAGCTGATAGAGTTGAAGTGTAGCTTGGGAAAATTCATATTAAAGTAGGCATTAAATTAATTAGTCTGCCAGCTCTTCCTTGAGAGACCATTTTGAATCCCAGTAAATACATGTATAGAATGGTCTGGTAAGCAACATTTTTCTCCATTTTCAAAATGTATCAAGTGAAATCGGTCAACAAAGTTCTTAAACAAATTTGGCAGTCATGAGATAAGAGATGTCCTCTTATACACTATTTAAAATTTTTATTCTGATCCATGGTATGATCATTTGTAAAACTTCGCTCTACAGTTCTAGTGATATTAAAAGTACTATAAAGTTGGAAAGTGCAATCAAAATAATAAAATGAGCAGCAATCTTCTGAATAAGGATTACAATATTTGGGACTGTTTGCTTAGAACACTGTTGTATAAAAAGGGAGAAGAGAAAAAATGTACGGAGAAAATAAACTTTTCTTCAATCATAATTCCAGAACTCAGAAGTAATGTTAACTACAACCACTAGGGAGTATCAGCATGCTTCTGGAAACCATAGCAGTATGTAGTGGTTTAGAGACAAAAAAAGTTGCATTACTGATGTTCTATATCCTACCTCTGTGGTGGTGAACCTATGGCACACGTGCCACAGGTGGCACGCAGAGCCCTCTCTGTGGGCACACGCGCCATCGCCCCAGTCCTAGGCCTTCAGCTGGGTTTTATAAAACCTTTTCGCTTTAGGCCTCTGTCGCCGTGTGCACAAATAGGTTCAATCAATCAATTAATTTCAACTTCTCGCGGGGAAATAAAGTTGGAATTGATTGATTGAACTTTTTAGTCCCACCTAGTCTGCCATTACCACTGAAGCCATGCCCACTCAGTGGGCCACACCCACCCAGCACCCAACGATACATAAGTGGGTTTTGGATTGCAGTTTGGGCACTCGGTCTCTAAAAGGTTCGCCATCACCTATTTCATTTTTTCACTTTTCTGGTTTTTGTATCACTTCTAGTACTTTATATCCATTGAGTAGTATTTTTTACCCCTCCCAGACAATATTTATCCATAATATTTTATACCTCACTTATTCCAGAATGCCGATGTGAAAAAGATAGTTATACTTATTTGTGCAAGGGAAAATGTAGATTCAGTTCCAAAATTATGACGATTCTATACAGTTAACATTTATATGCCTTTGTAAAAGTTTCTTGTATCTTTTAAGGCACCAGTATCAACACTTTTCTTAACCACAGATAGACTAAACTGGCTTGTATGTAATTTATATACGACTTTTTGCATTGCCAGAGCTAGGGTGGGTGTGGCCTCCACATGATGAAACCGGCACACGCGGTGGCAGTTTGACACCCCTGCTTTAGATCATTGTTTCAAAACTGTTCTATATCATTCTGTTAAATAGTTTTTAATCTCTCATTCTTTCAGCTCCATACACAATCATAACCTTCCCATTCTTATTTGCTGTGATGTTTGGAGATTTTGGCCACGGCATTCTTCTGACACTTTTTGCTGTCTGGATGGTGATCAGAGAGAGCCGCATTCTATCACAAAAGAGTGATAATGAGGTAATTTGACTTACTGACTTCAGAAGTTAAGATGTAAATTTGAAGGCAGTCTCTCACAGAACTTTTTTTAATAGTTTGCAATTTGAGCAGCTTTTATTTCTCAGCTTTTTATTTTATGTTCAGTTGGAGAAAAATGCTTTGTCCTCTTTTGGAACTACTGTGTGAGAGATTTTTCTGCTATGTGTCTTTCTGTAAAACAATTGATAGATACTTCAGTATGTATTCTGTTCTTCTGAATCAGAACTGAGACCATTCAAGCCTTTGAAGGGATAGAGCAGGCTTAAGTTAGAAGCCATATGGAGCATCAAAACCTGATGGAACGTATGGCACTAAATGTTTAGATGAGAGAGGGGGCAGTTAAGGAGCAAAATGTACTTCATAAAATCTCCTTTTTCTAAACATCAAGCCAAACTTTCCAATTTGGAATGAAGATTTAAGGGGCAAAACATGTCTTAACTATGTGCAAGGCCAGAGGAATCATTTTCATTCTTTGAAACCCTACGTCTTCCTAGAAAAATGCAAAAAAAGCCCTGTCCCTTAAAGAAATCAGGAGGTTATAATAATGGTCTAAAGCTGAAAAAGACTGTCTATTTGGGAGTCAAAGGAAGATGCTTGGCAGCATACTTTTGTATTCTTAGTGTAACAGTATCATTGTCACATATTTCCAGTTCATTTTTTAATTTCTCTTCTCTTTCCCTTCCCCTAATCTTCTTTCCTAACTTGGACAGATATTCAACATTATTTTCAGTGGCCGCTACATTATACTGTTGATGGGTTCTTTCTCCATTTATACTGGCCTGATCTATAATGACTGTTTCTCAAAGTCACTCAATATGTTTGGCTCATCTTGGAGTGTCCGACCAATGTTCCAGAAATCCAACTGGACGTAAGTGATGAGACACCTGCAAAGGCAAAGGATAGTAAAATATTTGGGAAATGGCTTGAGGAGGTTTGGAAAATGTTTAGTTGATAAAAGACATGGACGTGGTAAAATAACATCATTTAATGGTTACTCTTTTATAACTGTGTCAGGTACATTGATTTTGCTATATCTATTTTGTTCTGCTCAGATATTCATGCTCTGACTTTTCTTCCTATCTCTACAGAGAAGACCTTCTCCAGGAATATCCTATGCTTCAGCTTAATCCTGCCATTGAGGGTGTTTTTGGTGGAGCATATCCCTTTGGCATTGATCCAGTATGAACCACCATTTTCTATTTTCCTTTCCTCTTCCCTTTTACTTCACATTGTTTCCCCTTCCCCACATTCCCATTTTACCCTTTATTAATTAAGAGATATCAAAGTATCAAAAATGTCTGATTCACTGGATAAAAAGATAATTAGTTTGGTTGTTGTGTTAATGTGATAGGCTGTTTACTGAATGTTAAGAGATTATCATTACATTATACAGAAAGAGATGATAGAATTTTAGATTTCATCCTGGTCTTTAAAAATTACATTTTTAAAAATGTTTTTCACATGCATCAGTAGAATACAACTTGTATTATCCTTTCCTGAAATGCAGACTCATCCAAAAAATACAGGCTATCCTAGCTATGTCTGAAATGGATGGGACATTCACCTGGACTACCAGAATTCTCTTTACATTCAAATCCTTTTATAGAAATGTCTCAGATTCTTTCTCTAATCGTGAGGTTCTTAAACTGGTGGTGTTGAATTGGTTATTCAAAGTGAGAATTTGTTGTTCCTTTACTTTGCTCTAACAATTACACTTTATTCTTTATAGGTAAATAACATGTTGAAAGGAAGTTTGAAACGAATACTGTTCATCCGTCCATCAGCACAATAACTCTCTGATAACTAAGTAGAACAGGGCCAAGTTTAGCCCAGGGGGAAAAACCAACAAATGAAAGATCATGTTTAAAAATTAAGCTGGGGGATTGCAGAAGAAAAAAAATCCTAAAAATTCACCCAGTGTATCTTTGTGGGAGAGGTGCTTGGGTAGTGATTCAACATGTTGTGACTGTTCCATTCTAAACCCTTTCCTCAAGTCACATAACCCAGAGTGGAATGAGTGTTTCCCAGTGCTTATATGAATAGAACTTATGGCCACTGCTGGAAAGGGGTTGGAAAGAATTATAGATGCCATGGTCTACCTTCTGCCCTAGTTAGTTTAATTTTTTTTTTTTGTCTAGATCTGGAATATTGCTACCAACAAGCTGGTGTTCCTTAACTCCTTCAAAATGAAGATGTCAGTAATTCTGGGCATCATCCACATGATGTTTGGTATCACACTTAGTCTGCTGAACCATATGTGAGTGTGTTCCATTTAATTAAATTATAAAAAAAACTAGAGGATATGGAAATAAAGACAGAATATTCACTATAAGTTATTTTTACTCTGTTCCAAATAGTTTTTATGAACAGCCAGAAGTCATGCAATTGAATTTTTTAAAAAACAAAGAATTTTTCTTATAACATATTGTTACCAAGATAATTAAATGAACATGTTCATAAAATTGCTGGAAGTTAAATATTGAAGAGGGGTTGGAATTTATCATCCAATAAGTAAATTTATTTAATCTTGCTTGAATCAAAATTATTTACATTTAGCACAGTATGCATATTAACTAAATTATTAATTTCATAATTTATTGGCTGAAAGAACTGTCTAATTTTTCTAATTTTTCCCTAAATATTTCCTAATATTTTTCCTAAAATATTTTTTTCATACCTCTATAGTTATTTTAAGAAACCTCTGAATATCTTCCTTGGCTTTATCCCTGAAATTATCTTCATGTCTTCATTGTTTGGATATTTGATCATCCTTATCTTCTATAAGTGGGCAGCATACAATGCTAAGAACTCCATGTATGCACCAAGTCTTCTTATTCACCTCATCAACATGTTCCTCTTCTCCTATGAAAAAGATGCCAAAATGCTTTATAGTGGGCAGGTAGGTAGTCTAGTCTTTATAGGGCAGAAGTCCCCAACCTGTGGGCAATGGCCCACTATCGGTCCGTGGCCTATTGGCCACTGGACTGCATGAGTGGCTGGCGAGTGAGTGCACATGTGTGCGTACATTCACCCCCCCACTTGTGCTAGCATTACTGTAAGGGTTGCCATGAGAGTTGCACGTGTGCTAGCATTGCCGCAAGGGTCAGACGGGAGCTAGCGTCACCATGAGGGTCCCTGTGAGGGTTGTGCAGGTGCTAGTGTTGCCACGAAGGTAACAGGCGCTAGCATTGCCACAAGGGTCACAGGCGCTAGTGTCACTGTGAGCATTGTGCATGCTCTTGCAACCCTGTTTGCATCCCATGCATGCTTGTGGCCACGTTTGCGGTGTGTGCATGGCCCGGTTTGCATGTGTGTTTGCGCACATACAGATGCCTGCCCCTCCCTTTCATTCCAAGTTGCCAACCAAGAAAGTTTGGGGACCTCTGCTATAGGGCACTTTTTATTCATTTTGGGGTTTAAATGAGCTATCCTTGGGGAGAGAGGAAAAATGCCAAACCTTATTTGATATCACATTACCAGTTAGTACAGTTTTTTGGAAAAAGAAGATCCAGTTTGCTCTAGTGGTTAAGACTCCAGGCTAGAAGAGTATGAGTTCTAGGCCTCCTTTATTTATAAAAAAACAGCTGGGTGGCTTTTGATCAGTCACTCTCTCCCAATCCACAGTGTTAGGTATTGGCAACAAGCTGGTTGGTCAATTCCTATAACACTTAATAGGATTTGATTCATTTGAAATGTGACCGTGCACTTGCAGGAAAAACTTTAGATAGGAAGAAAAAACAATATTTGGAAAATACTGGGCAAGATATATTAAAGCAACTCCCAGTTGTTTCAGTGCGATTTGTATCAGGACATTTGGCAGAGAGAAATTTTTAGCGATAAAACTTTGTAGTTCCTTTTCAATAAGCTAGAATTTAAATTCTGATTAACAGCAGGTTCACAGACATTTTAGCAATGGTTCAGTGTCTCCCATGGATGGCTAGGCCAAGTTCAAGTGAGGGGCCTTATATCCCACAATTGTCATTTTGCTCCTAAATGTGCAATGCAGCTACTGTCATTAAGATCTTATTTACTTTTAGTGGTGAAGTCATTAATTGTCCTATTTTTCCTACAGAAAGGTCTTCAGTGTTTCCTGGTGGTAGTTGCATTTCTGTGTATCCCATGGATGCTGGTTGCTAAACCCTTGATTCTTCGCCAACAGTATTTGCAAAGAAAGCACTTGGTGAGTGACTATAAGAAGTTTTTCCTAAGAATCTTTTTATTTATTCAAGTATGGAGGTTTGATCCAATTTTCTACAGTGGAGAACTGCATGCAGATGAGTGTTATCCTCGGTTATTTTCTGTTCTATGCTAAGGAACAGGTATACCCATAATTGCCTATTATTGTCTGAATCTGTCTCCTGAAATCTTGATCTGTATGCATGTATTTGCCACACAGGAATCCAAAGAGCGACTTAGATATTCCCAGCCCTGAGGGATTCTTGATGTTTCCTTTTAAATGGTAGACACTTCTGTCACAAATATTTTTTGACTCTGCTTTTGGTTTAGAAGATGTTAGCTGTATAGAGAAGGATGCTGCTTTTTAAGGAAACATAAGCCCTCACAAACCTTTGGATATGTTTTGAGTTTGTTTTCTTTTTAAATCTAGAACCGTAAAGGGAAATTTGTCTTACTGGCATGTTACTGCAATAATGGGCCAGGCAGCCTAAAAGACAGACTGCCCCCATGATTCTCCAAAGATCTGACTCTGGCTTCCAGATCTGTTGTTCTTGTGGCAAGTACATTGTTAAGATGTAACTGCCCTTCAAAGTGCAGCTCAGTTAAAGACAATCCCTCTTCCTTTTCTGACCCTCTCATTTTCCCATGACCCCTCCATTTGTCTCCCTTTTTTTCTCTTGTTTTTTTTCTCCTTTCCTGCTTTCTTTTCTTCCATTCACTATCAGGAAGGGCAGCCTGAGGAACCCCATGTCAGCCCAGGCCAGAGTCCGCAGGCAATAGAGGCAGCAGCAGCTGCAACAGTGAGTGGATTAAAAGATGCCACCTATACACATGACGAAAACAGAAGGTGTCAGGAGCTTTGGAAAGTATCCACCCTGAGGAAGAGGAATAGCACAGTTGCCTTTTCCTCAGAAAGATACAGTCCAATAATCTCATTCATTTCAAATTCTACACGCACTAATATAGGAAATGATACAGTCGTAAGTTTATATCCAGAGGGTCCTGCAGTTATATTGCAGAAGATTATTGGCACATTTTAAAGCATGTGCTCACTATTTTAGAGTCCCAGCCAGGGTTTTTTTGGAATTAATTATTCCTTTGTACTCTTATCCCTAGTTATATACATTCTCTGTGAATGCAGATTGTAAAGAAAAAGGGCAACAATGAAAAAATGCATATAAAGGAAGCTTGCCCACTGATACATTTCTTATTGTGGGATCCCTGATAATGTCCTGAAGAACTTCAGAGTTTCTGGGAAAATAATTTGAAAAACACATTATAGTACTTCATTAAAAGTCATCACAATCTGAAAAGAATATCCTGTTTTGTATTTGCTGTCGGTTTTTCCATAGTTGATGGCTTTTTCCTCCTTCTGTTACAATCCAACCCAGCATTCCTCTTTCCAACATATTTTAAATTTTTCATACTATTTTTTAAAAATTACAGTTATATGGTAATGTTTTTGCAGTAGTACCATCTATTCTGAGTTTGCCTTGGCAGTCATCTCTATTTCTCCGTATACTTCAGGAATCCTTGTGATAGTGCATTGAACTATACTGTAGACTGTCATTCACTGAAGTGGAGAGAATAGTATGTAATTTGATAGCTTCTTGACTCTTAAGCAGTTTCTTCTGTTTTAAACTCCAGGCTGTCGAAAAAATCATATGAATATCATGATTTCTTGTTGCAGTATTTTGTTCTTGGGATAAATAATAAGATTACTTCTTTAAAAATCAGGGATGTTATTTGACAATACAACGTATTTGCAGTCTTGCTTTGTAAACTGGAATTATAAACTATATATAAAACCCAAAATCTTAAGTATTACCTCATTTATCTGAGATCAAGGTTGATTTCTCAAGCTCAGGTTACAGAGTCAAAGTTAAAAACATTGGAACTGCTTTACTAGTCAAAGGTCAGTACTACTTGCTAACCAATAATATTCCTAGGGAAATTTACAAAATAACACATTAAATCCTAAGAAACTTCTAATTTACCTGGGAATAAGGATTATTTCCAATCTAAAGTGTACAGAGTCAAGCTTAAGTACATAAGAATTATTTTTTTGAGTCAAATCAAGTTGTAGTATCCTGCTTGCTAACCAATCAGATATCCACAAGAGCCTATGAGAATGACACGGAGGCTTTTTCAATATTTGATTTTTACTTAACCAGTAAAAATACCTAGAATTTGATGGGAGAAACAAATTAAAATAAGGACTGTAACAGGATCTGTGATAAGGCAACCAGAACAATTGGATAGAAAAGAAATGTTATATTGATGTGATTATTATTTTTAGGAATATTGGGAAAAAGTATATATTATCTATCAAAACAGTAAGAATTGTATTAACTCAATGTTTGGAAAAGAGGATATTTTGGGAAAAGAGGAAATCAACTAAAACCGTTATGTGGATTATGGACTATAGAAATCCGTTGTTAATGATTGTTTTACAAATGTAACCCAGACAACACAACAATAAAATATATTACAAAAAAACCAGTCTAAGCATATTCCTACAATGTGAACTTCCCTGCTTTTGTCTTCAGGCACCTGCTAGTGACAACCATGTTTTATATGAGAGACTGGTTTGTCTTGCTATCATTCTTCTATTTGCTAGCAAACAATTATTTTAGCTAATAATTTTGTCTTTTTCTCTTTCTCCTAAATGTTACAAATTCTTCTACGTCTACAAAACTTAGTGGGAGATGTATAGATTTTTTAAAAAGAAGCTGCACCAGAAGCCATCTTAGTTTTTCACCTTTTTTATAAGTTGGAAAGGCAAATGCCATCCCTTTGTGGTAGACCAAACTAGAAATCCAAATTTATGAATGCTAATTTTATTATAAGTTACAGTAAGTAAATCTTACAATTCTGAATGGACTTCCCAACCCCACTTTGTCTCTGTGAGAAGTAAGGAGGGTCAAGTCTGAGATGCTTACTCAAATTACATTTCTGCCGTGGACTCAAATGTCTTATATCTGATTGGTGTCTTGGTTGTGGCACTTCTTGCTGTTCCTCAGGTTTATTTCTATTGCACATTGCATCAAATGAGATATGTGCAATTATCTAGTTTAGGCATAAAACAATGTGATATCTGAACATGAAAGTTAAAATTAAGTGGTTAGTTGAAGTTAGTAAAGGATGCTAAAAAAGTGTTTTTGGTATTTTTAGAATAAAAGATGGCAAGTAAAAAGCTTAATGAAAACGGTAGAAGGCTAATAGCTAACTAAGAGGAGATTCAGCTGTTCAATTTTTATTTTAGCTCAGTCTTTTCTGAGAGAAGAATATGGTTTCCATTAGCCACTGATAGAGGATAGTTCAGTTTGATAGAAATATTGCCAGGGAATGTATACTGAAACTTAATGAATTGAGATTGCTTGAGCCTAATACACTGATTCTAGGATACTGAAAGAATTTGCTGATAGATTGGCTTAACTTTTTCGATCTGAGAAATGCTGAAGAATAGGGATAGTACCAAATCACTGAAAGATGAAAAGTATTCCTTTGTTCAAAAAAAGAGAAAAAAAGGAGGATCCAAGGAACAATAGATTGGTGCTGATACCTCAGAATATTCTAAAGCAAATAATAAATGAGCCTGAAAGTACTTTGGATAAAATGAAGTGAAATTAATAAAAACCATTGCTTATCATTAATAAGTCTTTTCAAGCTAATCATATTATAGTTTTGGTCAAATAACTTCCTTAATAGATTGTGGGAATATTGTAGACATAATCTGCCTTAAGTAAAGATGTGATAAAATATTTGACGACATTCTGGTTTCCAGATTATTTAAGTACAAGATACATAATGTGTCTATATGACTCCATAATCATTCTGAAAACTACTTATCAACACTTATCAATACTTCTTTATCATGCTGCCTAAGATATCAATGAGATGTCACAAGATTTAATATTAGGTTATGCACTATTCAGTGTTTCATTAATGACAGATGAAAAGGTGGACAGAATTATAGATAAAGGAAAACTTGGTGGAATAGATAAAAGACTGACACAAATTTAAATAATTTTAAAATACAGAAAAGTGGGCTCCTAAGACAAATGATTTTTTTATTTAGTAAGGAAAGCCAATGACTAAGTTCATAATGCAAGAAACAAGTCACAAAATGACAATCTTAATGTAAAAAAAAGGTAACCCCCCCTTTTTAATAATAAAAGCAATTTGGCAGTGGAATATGTTATCTAGAGAGGAGATGGTTTTTTTCTTCACTGAACATTTTATGCAAGGGACAAGCAATCATACATGTATAATTATTCAATTTGGATTTTTGTCCTGAGCAGGGCTGGGCCTGGGTCTTAATGGATCCAAATCTGTAAGTCAGGGAATTGGAAAATATAAAATATAGGCAGTCCTTGATCTATGACATTTGGTCAATGCCATTCCAATTACAACAGCACTGAACAAATGGTGATTATGACAAGTCCTTGGAATTCTAGTTGTTCCAGCATCCCTGTGGTCACATGATTGCAGTCTGGGTGCTTGGGAACTAGTTCATACTTAAGATCAGTTGCCAAAGGTCCCATAGTCACTTGATTGCCTTTTGTAACCTTCCTTGCCAGCCTCCCCAAAAGTTTACGGGGAAGCCAACAGGGAGGGTTGCAAATCACTGGGATAAGTTTCCTCTACCCGGGCACTCTCCTCTGTCCCCTCTGGCCTTGTGGTGCAACAGCCATCTACACAATCCTGTGCAATCTTCCTGACCTATGCCATGCCTCTTGCATACCCACCCATATAATGCTTCTTGCACATCCTTCCCGACCCACTCTGACCTACACGGTGCCTCTTGCACACCCTCACGACGCTCTTGTGCACTTGAGTCATGCCATGCTTTCATGCATCCTCTCTGACCTTCCCCAACTCTTCCTAACAGTCACCTTTTGTGCAGTCCCTTGCCACATTCAGACCTTCCCCTGCATCCCTGTGCACACCCTCATTCCATTTCCCAGCTACTTGTCTGCAGACCTGAGACAGCTTCTTTGACTTTGGTTGTGGGAAGCTGATAGGAAAAGGCCTAACAACCATGATATTCAGTTAACAGTAGCAGCCGGAACTCCAGGGATATGCACTTTATGACCACATTGCTTGGCGCTGGAAATTATGGTCCCAATTGCTGCTGTAAATCAAGGACTACCTATCACCCAACAAATTCTTCCACAAATCTTGTTCCAATATCTTGTTCCAATGTACATGAGAACTTTTTCTGGAATCATATATATATATATATATATATATATATATATATATATATATATATATATATATATATATATATGTCTATCTGTCTATGTGTATCTTTTCTCCTGTGTTGCATGCTTTAGGGAACACTCAATTTTGGTGGGATTCGTGTAGGCAATGGGCCAACTGAGGAAGATGCCGAGATAATCCAGCATGATCAACTCTCCACTCATTCTGAGGAGGGTGAAGAGGTAAGTCTGCCCTTTACTACTGTAAAATTTTATGTGGAAAGATTTGTCTAGGAAGATTAACAGGTCAAACACAACCTCTGTTCCTTTGCTCCCTCTTTTGGCTTTGTTTAAACACTAACAAATTCTGCTTTAGATAAGTTCCAGTAACAACCAGCTAAAGTGGGTTTTGTACCTACATGGGTTGCTCTGTTATATTTTTTTTTACATTATCCCTTTTCAAAAATGTATTCCATTATTTGAATGTGTTTTTGCACCTTCAAAAGTTGATTTTTTAAATATTGATTAAATTAATCATATGCTTTGGCTGGTAGTCTTACTCTTTTTCAAAGAGCAATGCTAAAATACTATAAGTCTGGCTAGCTATATATTAAACTTGTGTTATCCTTATATAGTATATATTGGGGGTTTGGATAAAAACCTAATGTTTTGAACAGGACATATAATGATGTCATGGATAAGAGCTGGATAGTCTCATTGTAGTCTGACTTCTTATACTCTGTGGGATAGGGGATATAGTCTTAACATTCCTGGACAATGGAGCATTAGTGCTGAGTTGCTCAAAAGAAGAGATGCTTTTGTGATCTCAAATTATACATGACAAGCTCTGTGTTCCTTTGTGTTTTCAAGCCTGCATTGGAGGAAGTGGTAAGCCTGTAGCCAATTTCTGTTCCTCTATTTATCCAGATTAAATATTCCATGAATTTAAACTTTTATAGAATTAAATGGACTTCCATTAGTGACTCAGCAGATATTTTTAATCATGCATAAATATTTGTAATTGTAGATCAATATTAATCATTTTCATATCTTCTACTTAAAAACAAATATGTGTATGAATCACTACATATGCTTGAAAGATTTTTCCTGATTTTTTTTGCTGAAATTTAGTTTATAAATTACTGTTTTGAATTGCAGATTACTAATTATAGGGACTTGCTTTTCATTTGTCTGTCTCAGTCCCTGCACTTTTCAAATCTTCTGCTTCATTTGTTGCATAAAGTAATAAATGTGACAAGATCATTCATTTAGAAGTCTTCAGTTAACAAGCCTACACATACATTGTAGCTAATCAGTTTCTGTTGCATGTTGTCACTTGTGTAGTCACATATCAAAGTTCTGCAGCAATTGCCAAAATTGTTTGTAGCAATTTGTTGTTGTTTTTAAAATCTCTGTTTAACAAGCTACATTTTATCCAGCTACATAATAAGTTGGAAAGGCAGTGGGGTATGTAATTATCATTATTTGTGTTCCCAATAATGGGACTCCTACAGAAACCTTTGTGGTTAAAAGGAGTAAGCAAATGAGTAAGAGCAAGAGATTATCTGTAGACCAAGCTAGCCTCCCTCTCTTCATCTTTCTCAGCTATCTCAACAGAAACATCTGTAGAATAAGAATTTGTTGTTTCATTTTGTAATTTGGATTTGTCTTCTAGTGAGATGGTCTGTTCCACCTGCAGATGCAGAAAATACCTTAGTTTTTTTTTTATTGAAAAATTTTTAAAAGTTTTTACAAAAAACAGAAAACAACAATACAACGACAAAAAAGAACAGGATTAAACAAAACAAAACAAGCCTCCCCCAGCCCTCCCCAAACCACCCACACCCTCCCCCCCCCCGGAGCTTCCCAGAGCAGAATATAGGCTTAATTAAAAAAGTTAAAAAAATTGTATAAAAAGAAAAAAAAAGAAAAAAGAAAGATTAACAATAGATATATATATATATATATAAATAAAAATTATAAAAAAGCTAAATAATATTTTTTTATATCCAATTTAAATTGTATAAACTTTATCCATTTGTCCCAAATAGCAAAAAATTTCTCTTGCGATTGTTCTTTTAAGAAAGCTGAAATCTTTGCCATTTCCGCCAGGTAAGATACTTTAAAAAAACCATTCCTGCAAGGTAGGCAAAGATTCCTTCTTTCAGTATTGTCCTACTAACAACCTTGCAGCTGTGATCAGATTCAACATCAATATAACCTCCTTTGCATCGCAATCAGTAACTATACCTAACAAAAATAATTGTGGAGTAAATTTTACCCTCTTTCTAAAGATTCTCTGAATATTCCACCATATCTTAATCCAAAAAGCTTTTATATTTTTATACGACCACCAAATATGATAATAGGTGGCGTCCAAACAACCACATCTCCAACATTTAGGCTGTAGGTCAGGATACATGAGAGACATTTTTTGTGGATCAAGGTGCCATCTATAAAACATTTTATAAAAATTCTCCCTTAAATTCTGGGCTTGTGTAAATTTAACATTCCTCACCCAGATAATTTCCCAGATATCCAGTGGAACTGGTTCTCCAAAATTCTGCACCCATTTAATCATACAATCTTTAATTAATTCTGATTCTGAATCCAGTTCCACTAGAACCCCATAAATTCTCTTAATATGGGTTTGTCTTTGATCCTTTACTTGCTTGAAAAAATTTTCATCTTCTCTAAGAAAACCCACCTTACGATCCAACTTCCATCTATCTGCTAATTGTCTATATTGAAACCAAGAATAATTTCAAATTCGGTACCTTGAGTCCACCTCTCTCACGGGAATCTTGCATGATTTTAAACTTTACCCTTGGTTTTTTCCCTGCCCAAATAAATTTATTAATACCTTTCTGCCATTCGTTTAAATTAATCTCATTCTTCAAAATCGGTAACATTTGAAACAAAAAGAGAAACTTGGGTAGGACGTTCATTTTAATCACTGCAATTCTTCCCATGAGAGATAGCTGCAACTTCTCCCAATTCCTCAAGTCTTTCTGTATCCTAACCCACAACTTTTCATAATTATTCTTAAACAGTTTTGCATTAGAAACAGATAAAATAACCCCCAGGTATTTTACCTTATTAACAATTTCAAAACCAGTCAGATTAGCCAAAATTTGTTTATCCCGAGTAGTCATATTTTTAGGTAATATCTTAGTCTTATTAACATTGATCTTGAAACCCGAAACCAGTCCATATTGATGAATCAGCTGCAATAACATTACTACAGAATAAATAGGTTGAGACAAAGTAACCACCAAATATTTGTCTAGCATTATTTTTCATATATCTACCAGTTATAAAACCAGATTGGTCCCTTTGTATGAGGTGGTGCACAACCCTCATGAGCCTATTAGCTAAATTTTTTGCAAAAATCTTATAATCAACATTTAAGAGAGATATAGGTCTGTAATTCTTTGGTAAAGTAAGGTCTTGATCCTCTTTTGGAATCAAGGATATAAAAGCACTGCGCCATGACGGAGGGATCTCTGAACCCTGTAAAATACTATTAAAAAGGTCAGCTAATGGTTGTATCATCTCTTCCATTAAAGTTTTATAATAAACAGATGTAATCAATTCCTTCTGGTACACTAATTTACCCTTATAATTTATTTTATCTATTATTCTCTGTCTCTGTTTCTTTCTTAATTGGTAAGCCAACCATCTCCCTGGTTTATTGGCATTGCAAAATGTATTTTGTTTCATAAACAATAAGTTAGTTGCAGATTGATCCGCCATCAACATATTAAATTGTGTTCTTAGCAACTTTATAGATTCTTTAATCTTTTCATCTAAAGGAGTTAAAATCAAAGCCTTTTCTTTTAATTTAATCTCATCTTCCAATTCTTTACGTTTCTGAATCTGCTTTTCTCTATGAAAATTATTCATTTTTATCAAGATCCCACGCATAAATGCTTTACCTGCATCCCATACCATTGACATTGGTGTCCCCTTATACATATTCAAAGCAAAATAGTCCTTTAAACACTCCTTTAACTTTTGAACATTCTTTTCTTGTCTAAATAAATTTTCATTCACCCTCCAGGATCTTCTCTCCTCTTTTTCTTGAATCAGCTCCATCCAGACTGGACTATGATCCGTCAACGACCTAGGAAAAATCTTTACATTCTTTACCTTATTATATAAATCCGTTGTAATAAAAAAAATCAATCCTTGAAAAGGATTGATGTCTATCTGAAAAAAAGGTGAAGTCTCTCTCCTCTTGATTACGTTCCCGCCAATAGTCTCTCAATTCCCAGTCTTCTTTCATATCAAAAAAGGCTTTAGGTAATTTAGCCTGTTTAAAAAGAGGAGAAGAACCTTTCTTGTCCCTTTGTGTGTCTAAGACACCATTCCAATCCCCCATTAATATCACGGATCTATAATCCAGCGAGATTATTTTCTGATGTAACAGTCTATAAAATTGTTCCTGTTGTTGATTTGGTGCGTAAAGTCCCACTATGAGTATTTTCTTACTATATAAACCAAGTTCAATCATTACATATCTTCCTTGGGGGTCTGATTCTACCAGACAAACTGGTAAGTTTTGCTTAACATAAATAACCACTCCCCCTTTCTTCCCAGGAGCAGGAGATACAAAATGAGATCCCAGACGGGCATTAACTAAATATTTTTGATCTTTAAGTAGGATATGAGTTTCCTGCAAGCAAATAACATCATTGTTATGTTGTTTTAAGTAGTGAAAGATTTTCTTTCTTTTCTGAGGGGAATTAAGACCGTTAACATTCCAGGTCAGAAACTTTGCCATCTCCCTTAACCAGGAGCCTGGAGAAGACTGCCTGAAGATCTGCCATTGCTCTATGTGTTGCAGAACTCTTGGGTCTTGCTCCTCCCACCGGCAATGAGGCACTTTCCAAAGAAGATTCTTTAGTTTCTTTCTTTTGTTGCTCCTTTTCCTTACGTCTATGTGCTGCACGGGTCATCCTCTGCTCTTTAACCTCTGTTTGACGTTGCCATTCCAGTTGTAACTTCCCGGCAGAGATCAGACCTAATGCTTCAGATTGCTGTTCCAGCTCTTTACCACTCAAAGGTTTGACGCTGAGCCTGCAACGCATCCCCGCATGGCTCAGAGCGATACCCATTTAGATGGAATTTCCTTTAAAATAATAACATCTTGAGCAGCAATCTGGAATCTCTTGTTATAAAAAGCTTGTATGACTTCATTACGCAGGGATCTCTTTGTAAAATAAATCACCACATCTCTGGGCAAATTCTTCTGCTTTGCAATCCAAGAATTAACTCTATAAACTTTTTCCACTTCTCTGCGTAATTCATCTTTATCCATATTCAAAGCAACAGCTAGGTCATTAAGCACCATCTCTGTCAAATCTTGATTCATGTCCTCCTTCAGACCTCTGATTCTCAAAGCATATTCCATTTCTCTATACTGGGACATAAGAATATCCTCTTGTGAAATCTCCATCTTCCTTTCCATATCTTGAAATTTATCCTCAAAAAAATCAACTTTATCTGCGACTTCCTCCACCCTTGAGTCCAACTTCACCACCACGGAGGCCAGGCCTGATAAGGCTGTAACTATATCTTGCCTCAAAATAGTATTATTATCCTCTAATAACTCCTTCATTTCCTTCATTTCCTCTTTGCTTTCAGATTTGGGATACAGCATTTCCCATTATGTCTTTAATCTCTTGTGCAGACAGGCCTGGCAAAGGAGGGGAGGGTGGGGGCTGCGCTGGTGGTACAGGTTTAAGTTGTTGTTGCACAGTTAAAGTTGTGGGAGAGGAAACCACCTTGGATAGTATAGAAGGCGGTTGTCTCTTTGAAGCCATTTTTCAAAACAAAATTATCTCTTTCCTTCTTTCAAAAAAAAAGAAAAGGGAAATAATAAT